CAGCTCTTTATGAATAAAAATTTTAGATTGGAACCCTTCACTTCTTATTGTACTAATAGAAAAAGAAATTAATGTTCAATAGAATGTATACTATTTACCGCGTCTCATGACTCTTGAGTCCTTGATTATTGGCCAACTTAAGATTGATTAATTTTACGATATGAATTGTAATCTAATTGATATGAAATCATTGTGTGGTAATAATACACATGGAAATTACAGAGATCTGCATATCATTGACAAAAGAATAATCCAATGCATATAGTTACATAAATGAAATTGTCGATCATCCTATCTCAGCCCTACACATAACACGTTTAATTTGGTTTGAAATTAAAGATTGAAAGTTTTTAATATGGCAACTCTTTTTGTTGTACATAAGTTTTTATATATATATATATATATATATATTAACAAACAGCATTGAAATTTTTGCATTAAAAAGAGGCAAATGTGATTTTTGCTCCTTGGCCTGGTCTGATGCTAAACTTGAGATTGAATGTGATTCGTTGAACGTGGTGAAATAGATTCTTAATCCAACAAAGGTACCGTGGAGGATGAGAAAACTTAGCATTCAGATCACAAATCTGCTCAGAAATGTGAGGCAATGGCGGATAAAACACACATTATGCTCAGCCGATGAAGACGCTGATCGGCTTGTGAAAGAGAGTGTGTCAAGGCCTCCATAGCTGCTATGGATTAGTCCTGAACCAACCCCCAATCAAGGTGCTGGTTCTGGCTGTGTGATTGTGGAACTGAAAATGACTTTGATATTTTTTTTTTGTTCTTGTGAATTCCTTGATCTGTTGGGATAGATATTCTCTACACAGCTTGATTGTTTGGATAACAGCATTTCTAGTGGAGTTTTGCTGGCCCTGGGAAATGAAGGGTTTGCTGTTCACAAACAGTATGCATTGGTGACTCTGAGAGGCAGAGATAAACCTTTTTGTAACCCAGCTCTGCATTTTGTAACTATTGATATTTTTAATACAAGCTACTATATGCATTTCAAAAATAAAAAAAAATGTTGTCAAAATTACTTCTTAGAGTAACTAGTAATTTTTCATAAATATACTATTTTGTCCCACTTTATTTGTCTCTTATTGATTGTTTTAATTAAATAAATTTAATTTTGACTATTATATTTAACAAAATTATCAAATTTTTAAAAATAAAATTTACAAATTTTGAATTTCAAACTTTTCATAATAAATTTTTTGAGATTTTAATTTTATATAATATTTTTAAAAATTAGACAAAATTAAATTCATTTAATCAAAAAAGTGAATAATAGACAAATAAGATGGGACAGAGAAAGCATTTCTTAATTAGATATGGTATAAGAATTTGATAATTTTTAATAAAATACCATTGTCTTTCAAGGAAAAAAAAGGAGGTGGTTCAATCCTTTAATTATGTGATCCCATTGATGAATTATACCGTAAGGTCAATAAAATTGACAAAGTTATTGAATAATAGCCTTTGGATTTTGAGCATTTTATTTCAGCCATTGACGAGGAAAAGAAAATCGCAACCTGTAATAAGCAACAGGTTCTCCCTGCAAATCTGTTCAGCTTAGTGGAGTGGTGAGGATTGTGGCTATTGAGTCGTTATTGAATTTAGAAAGGTTTTGAAAGTCCGCTCACGAAGCTGTTAGTGTGTCTGAACCACTTGTTAAGATTCCACGGATTGTTATTAAATATTTATTAGATATAGTAAAGAAGGGTCTCAGTTGGTTAACGTGCTATCATGTTAACATGGGAGAAGGTTGGAATAGCGGTAGGAGATGGCTTGACAGCCTTCGTTCGGTTTTCGTGGAAAATTTGAGCAAGAGGCTATCGTGGGTAGCAATCAAAAGTGTCTTCGAAGAGTATGGAACGGTTGTTGATGTTTTCATCCCAAAAAAGGTTCTCCAAAATCAGAACAGGGTTGCAAACTATGCTTTCATTAGATATAGAGAGCTGTTTGAGATGTGAAAAAGCCTTGAGATGGGGGGGACATATATGGATCGATGGGAAACAGCTCTTGGTGAGTAAGGCATTTGTAGTACAGAAGGGAAGAGGTGAACGAATGGATAGAGGGTCACAGGTCAGAAAGAATATCACAGAGGCAAAGAAACTGGGACTCGGCGACAGAACTTTTAAAGAGAAGCAGGGAAAGAAAGAGCAACGGAAGACAGAAGCGCATGGGAAGAAAACCCCAGAGGGAAGAGTTGAAATAGAGGAGGAACGGAGGGAAGGTATCCCAAAAACCGAGGAGGATGGAGTAAAGAATGATAGCAAAAGCAGAGGTAGTCCTTAACACCGTAAACAAAATGAAAATAGCTACTACATATTTGATTTCTGATTGAATACATGGTCAAGTATTCATGGCTACGCCGCCTCATCAGCACTATT